CAAAGAAACAGAAATTCATGTTTCTAGAGACTTTGGTTTGTTTGTCGCAGCGAGACATAAAAAGAGTGAAAGAAATTCATGCTCTTATTTTTTGCATTTTCTATTTATTTGATTATTTATTTATTTATTTATTTACTCATTTATTTATTTTTTGTATCTATTCACAAAAGGAGTACCGGAAACCTATGTTCTTAAATCGTATAATCAGCCGTTCGAACTGTTAATGAACTGCATGTTATTTAGCCTCGAATGATTAATCAACTCTAATTATTAATCAATCCTTCATTATTATTAATTACCAATCACTTCTCCAGTCTTACCTGCTGGTCCGGTGCACTCTCCTGCAGGTGGAGAGTGAGAGGCCCGGTGTCGAGGTCGAGGGATAGGCCTACCCTGAACCCTACTTGGGACAAGGGCACAGCCGCGTAGCCAACCACGACCCGCCGTCCGCATCCTGTCACCTGCGGAAAGAGTGCGGACGGATTTTGGGTGAAAAGAAGGAAAGGGAGAAGGAGAAGGAGATGGAGAAGGAGATGGAGATGGAGGGAGGGAGGGAGGGAGACAGAGAGAGAGAGAGAGAGAGAGAGAGAGAGAGAGAGAGAGAGAGAGAGAGAGAGAGAGAGAGAGAGAGAGAGAGAGAGAGAGAGAGAGAGGGAGAGAGAGAGAGAGAGAGAGAGAGAAAGAGAGAGAGAGAGAGAGAGAGACAGATACAGAGGGGGGAGGGAGTGGGAGAGGGGAGAGGGCAGAGGGAAATGGAGATGGAGGGAGTAAGAGAGAGAGAGATAGATAGATAGATAGATAGAGAGAGAGAGACAGAGAGAGACAGAGACAGATACAGAGAGACAGAGACAGAGGGGGGAGGGAGTGGGAGAGGGGGGAGAGGGAGATGGAGATGGAGGGAGGGAGTAAGAGAGAGAGAGATAGAGAGAGAGAGAGAGAGAAAGAGAGAGAGAGAGAGAGAGAGAGAGAGAGAGAGAGAGAGAGAGAGAGAGAAAGAGAGAGAAAGAGAGAGAAAGAGAGAGAGAGAGAGAGAGAGAGAGAGAGAGAGAGAGAGAGAGAGAGAAATGAGAAAGGACAACGCAGAGGAAAGCAAGATGAAAGTGGAATGGAATGAAAAAAACTATATAAGAGGAGCCAGTAGCGATGTGGGTGGAGCAAAGGTTGATGAAAGATAAAAAAGGAAAAGGTAATCAGAACAAAGGAATGAAATAAATCCGTAATATCCACTTGGGCGAAAATAAGGAAAAGTAAATACAAAAAACAAAGAAAAAATAATGTATCCATAGAAATAGTGATTAAAATCAAAATGGGTCGTAGGAATCGAGACCGTAATGTTAATGATAATAATAATAACAATAATGATAAGAACAGTAACAATAATAAAAATAACAATAACAACAACAATAATAATAACAGTAATAATAATAATAATAATAGTAAAAGTAATAGTAATAATGATAATAATAACAACAACAACAACAATAATGATAATAACAAATAAAATGAAAAAACTGAAAAAAAATCAGGCTACGGACTTAAAAAGATTATGATAATGAGTTAATTATAAGTAGGCCTAAAGCGATGATTGTATTTACAATTAAAATTTCGTGTTGTATTTCCTTTATTATCTCATACTGTGACAAAATATAAATACAGAATTGCTCTTCGTAGTGATATATTAAGTGAGTATATAGAAATTATGTAATGGGCAAGTCCGAACATAAATTCCTGTTAATTTCAACTTTAAATTTCGTCTTCTCTCATCTGAGGTTAATGGTAGCCTGTACGAGGAAATTATATAAAATTTACAGTAAATAGGAATACTTTCTATCGTATTTCTTCAGTTTTATTTATTCATCTGTTTTTCTTTGCATCATTATTCATTCTATTTTCAAAAAATATTGTAAGGACTTTCACCTTGAAGTTACACAATCACTGAAATCAAGGGACAGTATACAATACACATACTATTTCCACCTACACCCATTCATAGGTGTATATATACCCGCCTAAAACAAAATTAGAAAGGACAGGAGGAACGTAGCCTTTCGAATGACAGTGGCAGACACGTACGTACCTGGCAGACGGAGAACCTGAGGGTGGCGTGGGCGAGGCGCGACGGGCGGGCGGCGTGGGTGAACGAGGCGTTGAAGGAGGCGTGGGTGACGGCGGACACAGCGCGGGTGTTGAATCTCACTCGTTTCTCTGGGAGCATCACGGCCTTTTGGGGGGGAGGGTGTCGTTAGGGTAAGAATGTTTCAGAGGTGGAATGAGTGTTATTAATAAAACGGAAGTTGATTTGGTTGTCTTCCTTTGTTTATATCTGGTCGTTCTTCTGTTCATGGATCAGGTCATCTATTTGTTTATCTCTCTGTAGTATAGGTTTATTCATATGTTTGTCTAATCTTTTTACTCTCTCTCCCTCTCTCACTCTCACAACTTGTACACACAGTAAGTAAAATGAACATGAGTGCATCTGTGTAGTCCATTTTTTAATATTCATTTAGACACTTTACCAAACGCTATGATATTAGGATATACGCTGCTATGATCATATTTCTAGTACGGTCTACGTTCTTCTAGTTCTCCTCTGGCTAAAACCCCGAGCTCGTCTGTACAAACTTATCGCCATAGTGGATTGTCAGATTATCAGATACATTTGTGTTTACATCTTTGGGGAGAATGATTTTGCTCCTTGAATTTACCTTTCTGTTGATGGCGGGAAAAAACTGACGGAGAAGATTGTGCTCGAACTTAGGATAATATGAAGTTAAATATACTATACACATTTGTGCACCCTGTAGCCTTCTCATGACGAGCACGTTTTTGCGTATCTCTGAATATAAACAACGCCAACCATGGAACTGCCTTTTAACAGATACATGTTAAAAGGTGATGTGACCTACTTAGCCCAGTGGTCGCCATTGGATGTTATAGGATTGTGCGTCATAGCGAAGAGTCAAAGACATTTAACTTTGTGAAATTATATTTTAGTTTCGATTCTGAAGTTACTATTATCCAATTATTTGAAACTAATTGACACATGTTTGATTCCTGCCCAAAAGCCTCTGTATAGATGTTACTCTTGTTGGTAAGTGTGATTCCGAGAAAGGTGAAGAAAAAAAGAGCCTGTTTGATGTTTTGTACCTTTGATCTGAGACGTTACAGGCTCATCGGAATACATTCAGAACTGTGATTCCTGATTTGTTGGTGTTTATTCGAAGCCCCATTGCTCGATACACGTTTCGAATATCCGTGAAGCTTCAGTGTAGGCCTATGGTGTGTGTTTACAAGTAGGGCTCAGTGTGTATTTAAGTTCATTTGGCGGTGAGTGTAGTGAGGTAAACGTTTAATACGAATGGAGCCAATACACGTTATCGCCTTATGTATTTTATACAGTTTTTGCCCCGTTGAGTGTTGTTTGCTAGTGTTCATGCTACCTTGTAGACTTCTCAGGATGGCTAAGAATTTGTGTGTAATTCTGAATTTAAACAGAGCCAGCCATCGGACTGCATTTTAACAGATGCAATGTACTCATATGTATAAATTTATCTATCTATCTGCCTATCTATAAATTTGTCCATACATCTACATATATATATACTCATATAAATGAATTTATCCATATCTTTATCTAAATTAAACTTTATGTTTATATTCCTATTCTCGGATTCGAGATGCGCGGCGCATGCGATCATAGTTGCTACACAACGACAACTGCAGTGAAAACATTCCTCACTGAAGCTGTTGTACTCTTCCTCGTTTGGAATTAGCCGCAAGTTTTGCTTTTCATAATGCCTTTAAGTTGTGCTGCATATGGCTGCACGAGCTTTAATAAAATGGAAAACAAGCCTGGATTCTTCCGTTTTCCTAATAATGACCAAGAGCTTCGGGAAAAATGGATAAACGCATGCAAACGCCAACACAAGGATGGCACGCCATGGAGGCCTAAAGGCAGGAACGTTTACCTTTGTGGAAACCACTTCATTACAGCTAAGAATCGAGCTTTTGATGCTAAAAATCAAAATTTACTTATAAAGGTATTCCAACTACCAAGGTTCTGAGCCTTGTAGAACTAACAATAACCATATGAAAACTTACCTTAGGCCAAGGGTAAATTGTTTTCAAGGCCCTGGATTCTTAACGTCATGTGATTATTCTTATCAAACTCCCCCTCCCCAATTTTGTCGTCTGAGGCATTATTTTTGGCATCTGATCGGAATAAAGAGGAGTAATTTTTTTCAGGGAAGCCAATGAAGAAGGATCCAAGTTATCCAGACTATGTCCCTTCCATTTTTGTGTACACGCAAAAAGTTGCAAAAAGAGAGCAAGAGAAAATGAAGCGGTTTGAATCAGCAAAGAAGAGAAGAGAAAAGGTAGCAACAGTGTCTCAAAGGAAGAGAAAAATTCAAAAGATTTCCTCCTCTGATACAGTGCTCAATGCAGTGATTCTAATGAGAAGCGACGAACTGTTTTCACTGCAGCTGCGCGGCATTCACAAATAAAAAGCATGTGACGTCAGCTCGAATCCAAGAATTCATGTTGCTTATAATCGAATATACAATACATACGCATAAAAAAGGCCAAATCTGTTTATACACATACACACACACACACACAAGCACGAACACGAAACACTAAACACACGATCACACACAACAAACCAAACCCACCACAACTATTACACCCCAAAGCACAAAGAACAAACCAACAGCCTGAACCACAACTAACCTTTGTGTAAGTGTCGAGAGGTTCCGGCCCGAGTCTCAGTGGCAGGTTGTCAGCGGAGAGAATAATAAGCTTCAGGAGCCTCGTTCGCACTGTGTACCGAACACGGACCCGCAGTTCGCCGAGACCGCACCCGCCGCCTGGTGTGACGAGGGGGGGTGGTTGGTATTGTTGGTATTTCAAGGGGGGGGGGCATCCACTGCTATAAGATTCCCATAGTATTCATCCACTGCTATAAGATTCCCATAGTATTCATCCACTGCTATAAGATTCCCATGGTATTAATCCACTGCTATAAGATTCCCATAGTATTCATCCACTGCTATAAGATTCCCATAGTATTCATCCACTGCTATAAGATTCCCATGGTATTAATCCACTGCTATAAGATTCCCATAGTATTCATCCACTGCTATAAGATTCCCATAGTATTCATCCACTGCTATAAGATTCCCATGGTATTAATCCACTGCTATAAGATTCCCATGGTATTAATCCACTGCTATAAGATTCCCATGGTATTAATCCACTGCTATAAGATTCCCATGGTATTAATCCACTGCTATAAGATTCCCATGGTATTAATCCACTGCTATAAGATTCCCATGGTATTAATCCACTGCTATAAGATTCCCATGGTATTAATCCACTGCTATAAGATTCCCATGGTATTAATCCACTGCTATAAGATTCCCATGGTATTAATCCACTGCTATAAGATTCCCATGGTATTAATCCACTGCTATAAGATTCCCATAGTATTCATCCACTGCTATAAGATTCCCATGGTATTAATCCACTGCTATAAGATTCCCATGGTATTAATCCACTGCTATAAGATTCCCATGGTATTAATCCACTGCTATAAGATTCCCATGGTATTAATCCACTGCTATAAGATTCCCATGGTATTAATCCACTGCTATAAGATTCCCATAGTATTCATCCACTGCTATAAGATTCCCATGGTATTAATCCACTGCTATAAGATTCCCATAGTATTCATCCACTGCTATAAGATTCCCATAGTATTCATCCACTGCTATAAGATTCCCATGGTATTAATCCACTGCTATAAGATTCCCATGGTATTAATCCACTGCTATAAGATTCCCATAGTATTCATCCACTGCTATAAGATTCCCATGGTATTAATCCACTGCTATAAGATTCCCATAGTATTCATCCACTGCTATAAGATTCCCATAGTATTCATCCACTGCTATAAGATTCCCATAGTATTCATCCACTGCTATAAGATTCCCATAGTATTCATCCACTGCTATAAGATTCCCATAGTATTCATCCACTGCTATAAGATTCCCATAGTATTCATCCACTGCTATAAGATTCCCATAGTATTCATCCACTGCTATAAGATTCCCATGGTATTAATCCACTGCTATAAGATTCCCATAGTATTCATCCACTGCTATAAGATTCCCATAGTATTCATCCACTGCTATAAGATTCCCATAGTATTCATCCACTGCTATAAGATTCCCATACGATCACACACAACAAACCAAACCCACCACAACTATTACACCCCAAAGCACAAAGAACAAACCAACAGCCTGAACCACAACTAACCTTTGTGTAAGTGTCGAGAGGTTCCGGCCCGAGTCTCAGTGGCAGGTTGTCAGCGGAGAGAATAATAAGCTTCAGGAGCCTCGTTCGCACTGTGTACCGAACACGGACCCGCAGTTCGCCGAGACCGCACCCGCCGCCTGGTGTGACGAGGGGGGTGGTTGGTATTGTTGGTATGGCAAGGGGGGGGGTATGGCAAGGGGAGGTGGTTGGTATTGTTGGTATGGCAAGGGGGGGTATGGTAAGGGGAGGTGGTGGTATTGTTGGTATGGCAGGGGGAGGGGGTGGTATTGTTGGTATGGCAAGGGGAGGTGGTGGTATTGTTGGTATGGCAAGGGGGGGGTATGGTAAGGGGAGGTGGCGGTATTGTTGGTATGGCAGGGGGAGGTGGCGGTATTGTTGGTATGACAAGGGGAGGTGGTGGTATTGTTGGTATGGCAGGGGGAAGTGGTGGTACTGTTGGTATGACGAGGGGAAAAATGGTGGTAATGGTGTTGGTATGATATGGGGAAATTGGTGATATTGGTGTTGTTATGGTTGTTTGTATGGTTGGTGTTGGTATGTTGGTCATGGTTGTTGGTATTATCGTTGCTATGGTTGGTATTGGTGTTGCTATGGCTAGTATTGTTGGTATGGCTGCCATTAGTATTGCTATGGCTGGTATTGTTGGCATGGCTGCTATTAGTGTTGGTATGGCTGGTATTGGTCGGATAAGTTTTTATCGTCTTCATCACTGCGTTAAAGGCATTAGTATTTCTTTACGGTAATCATTACCTACATATTTATTTTTTCACCAGTTCTCTCCTTGCTCATGCCATCGTTACATACTATGCATTACATCACCACTGCTATAAGATTCCCATGGTATTAATCCACTGCTATAAGATTCCCATAGTATTCATCCACTGCTATAAGATTCCCATAGTATTCATATAATATTCTTCATCCATAGGTTCTGTCACAATTTCTCTCCAAGAGATGGCTGTAGTCATCACCATTATATTAAAGCTTCTGTGATATAGAAGTTTTAATTGCCTTTCATTGGCTAACGTTCAGAATATCTGTGTCTTTAATTACCTTTAATTGCCTGACATTAAGAATCTCAGCATCTTTGATTACCTTTAATTGCCTGATATTAAGACTCTCAGAATCTTTAATTGCTTATCATTGCCTAATATTAAG